CTCGGCCATGTCGCACACCCCTCACGAGGATCTGGCCCCAAACTCCTCCGAAGGCACTGCTCGTTCGCATGCTGCCTCCCATTTTGGCACACCCTCACGAGATCGTGGCCCATAGGGAGTTCCACCGACAGCCCCAGTGGCAGCGTTCGCATGGCGGCCTCGGCCATGTCGGCACACCCTCACAGCTTCGTGGCCTCAATGAGCTCCACCGAATGCGCCAGGGCAGCGTTTCGCTTGGCCCTCGGGCATTTCGCTCAACCCCTCCACGAGGATCGTGGCCCCATAGGGAGCACAACCGAAGCGCCCAGGCAGGGTTTCCATGTCGGCCTCGCATGTCCGCACAAAATTAACCCCCCTCACAGGATAGGAGCGTCAGGTGTGCACGGCGGCCTCGCCATTTCGCACACCCGTGCATTTCGCATGCGGGCCCTCGGCCATGTCCCGGCACACCTCTCATAGATCGTGCCACCATAGGACTCCTCCGAAGGCCCCAGTGACAGGGGTTCGCATGGGCGCCTTCGGCCATTTCGCACAACCTCATCATGAGATCGCCTCCTAGAGGACTCCACCGAAGGCACCCAGGCAGCGTTCGCATGCGCTCCGCACACCCCTCACTAGATCGGCCCCTAGGGAGCTCCGCCAATGACCCAGTGGCAGGGTTCGCACGGCGGCCTCGGGCCATTTCGGCACACCCCTCACGAGGATCATGGCCCCATAAGGGAGCTCCACCGAAGGCGCCAGTGGCAGGGTTCGCACGGCGGCCTCGGGCCATTTCGGCACACCCCTCACGAGGATCGTGGCCCCATAGGGAGCTCCACCGCAGGCCCCAATTGCAGGGTTCGCATGGCGGCCTCGGGCCATTTCGGCACACCCCTCACGAGGATCGTGGCCCCATAGGGAGCTCCGCCGAAGGCGCCAGTGGCAAGGTTCGCATGGCGACCTCGGGGCATTTCGGCACACCCCTCACGAGGATCGTGGCCCCATAGGAGCTCCAGCGAAGGCGCCAGTGGCAAGGTTCGCATGGCGGCCCCGGGCCATTGCGGCACACCCCTCACGAGGATCGTGGCCCCATAGATGTGTTGCTTCAACAACCGCGCCTGGGCGTCGTACTCCGCCGTGTCGACGTGCAACGCCACCTCCTCCCTTATGGCTCTCAAAGCCCTCTTCTGCTTTTGCTCCTCGGTCAGTGGGACGCCGTCCGTGTCGTCGTCGGCGCCCGTGAAGACGGCCACGAACGTGTTCCTGAGCACGTCGGGTTCCGGCGGGAAGCTGTGGCCACATGGGGAGCGCGGGCAAAGATGGTATTCACAATTGCGGTATTCACAACTGCATTTGGTTGGGTCCTTCGCCAGGCTAATTTTCTTCCGCGGGTGATTTGAGCTGTGCTAATAAGAGCGTGCATGAACTGTTCATATAGGGTCTCGTGCACGTGTAGTAGGGCACCAATTTCTTCTAGCAGATACCAGCAACCATATTGAGCAGTACGAAGTGGTCCCCGTCGAACACCTTCAGTAGCAGTGTCTTTCTTGCGCAGTGCGTCTTGTTCTCTTGGCGCTCTTTCGCCCAGCACAGTGACAGTCATTTCGCCAGAGCATCGCGTGGTGGTCGCTGCCAGGGGTGGGGGGCACTGTCTTGCGCAGGGCGCCTTTCTCGCAGAAGCAGTGTGCATCACGCTGTCGCGCAGCAGTTTCTTATAATCATGTTGTACCACGATCATGGGACGCGCTCGCCCGTGCCCTCTCAGGACCACGCCTGCGGGAACGTCTCCTCCTGCCGCCTCCTGAAGCTGCCCATGCAGCCACGCCTGTGCTTCGACTTCTGCCGCACCCAGGTGCCCACGGCGAAGCAAAGCCACGTCCATCCTCCCAGTTTTGGCCCAGGCCGCAGCAACCTGCGGAGCTTCTTGTTGTTGTTGTTGTTGTTGTTGTTGTTGTTGTTGTTGTTGTTGTTGTTGTTGTTGAACATTATTTATTCTAAAGAATAATTATTGTTGGGCCCCCTGGTGCGCGCCCCCCCTGCGCCGCCTAGGCCGCAGCTACATTTTCATCATTTTCGTGAGGAAGCCTCAGAAAAGAGGGTGTGTACAGGATCCGGTTGTTTTGTTGTAGTCCGCTTTCCCTTGCAAAAAAACAATAGAAAATGACATTTCTTGTTCTAATATAATCAAATTTCAAGAACCCCTTGCAAAAAATAAGGTAAAGTGGACATTCGCGCGCGCAAGACGAAATCCTTCCAAAACCTTAGTGTTCGCAGCGATTTTAACATAAAAACATAAAAAACCAATGGTTTTTCAACAAAAAATTGTCAAAATCTCATCCGCGCGCTCTTGCGGATTCGTAGGAAACCCAACACTTTTTAAACATTTCTGTCAAACGGGCTTTTGCGAGCAACTTTTTCGAACTTTGCGACAACGGTTGCGCACCTGCCAGGGCCATCATCCCTGTCAAATAATACCATGCGGGACACATTCGTTTTTTCTTCGCGCGCGCACGCCGAAATCTCCAAAAACCATTGGGCTTCTTCAGGACAACCATCGGGACAACCATCGAGACAACCATCGGGACAACCATATCCTCTCTCTCTTGTGTATTCCCACATCCTTCAGGAATTTGCCCTAAAGATGTGATCAACTATCTTGTGAGTACGTATCATGTGTATCATGTGTATCATGTACCATATGCATCATATGCAACAGATGTTCTGTGGAAGGCTTAACAACTTCTGTGGGTTAACAAGGCTTAACAACTTCTGTGGGTGTACGAACGTAGGCTTAACAACTTCTGTGGGTGTGTACTCCACGCCAGTGTAGTAGCCACGGTCGTCCGCAGGCCACGAAGTGAAGTGTCAAACGTCATAGGGCGGGAAGCTGGGTGTGGGTGGTGGCGAAGAGTCGTGTGGATATTTGGTAGAGCTTGCACTGCCCCCCCACAAAGTGGGGGTATTGGCTGGCGTCGCATGAAAACCCTGGCACTGGTGAGAACACTGAGCGTTCGGGTAAAGTGATTGTTGTTGTTGTTGTTGTTGTTGTTGTTGTTGTTGTTGTTGTTGTTTACGGCCTGGGCCCTCGGACATCGAGACGCAGACGCCACTCTTGGGACCAGCTTTCCGCCGCTGGCGGACCTCTGATGGTCCCAGGGCCGGAGAGCAGGATTGAGGCCCAGACCCTGGACCAAGTATGCCGTGGTGCTTTCCCGCGATGCCAGGACATGTTGGGTTGTTTTCCCACTGAAAAATCAATCTTCGGATCCCTCCTGGACGCCATTCTCACAAGTTTTCCCAGCTGCGTGCGGCCTTGGCCACAAGGAGTCCCCTCGAAGCCAGAATGCGGAAAACATGAGAGGGAGGAGGAGTGCAAACACTTTAGGATTTCCTCCCTGGAACGTCGCGCCCCAGGAGACCGCCCACTTCTTCGGGCTCGTGCACGGCCGCGACTGCTACTGCGGCACGTATTTCCATGCGCACTCCACAGGCACCCTCGGGCACGACGCGAGGCGGAGGAATGGGAGGAGCAAGGAGGCGAAGGGGGAGGAGGAGGAAGAGGAGGAGGAGGAGGAGGAGGAGGAGGAGGAGGAGCAGGAGGAACAGGAGGAGGAGGAGGAGTCGACGGAGGAGGAAGCGGAGAGGGAGTCTGACGTTTTCATTCCCCCCTACGAAGTATACTGGTTATTGCTGATTCGTATATTCTTGCCGCCTTCCTTTGCCTGAACCTTCCTCGCTCATCCGTCCATGCGACTCGCCCTCGTTCCTCCTGACTGCATCCTTCATCGCTTCCTGCACTCCTTTCTCGCACCCTCTCTCCTGCATAACGCGTTGTCGACTCAGACCCACCCGCTCACACTGAAACCCAATATGCCTCGTGTTCACTGCAGACATCACATTTAGGCCTCCCGTATGAGAGCTGCCATCTTATATTCAAGAGGCTTGCGCCATCCCGCCGACCCCCAGAAGGGGCGTGGAGTCCACAGTTGAGGCGTCGTGAGATTGTTGGGCATTATGCGGGGATTCTTGTGAGCGTCTTGGTAGTTGTTTGGGGGCCTGGCAGGGCCTCTTGGAGGCAATCTTAAAGCGTGTTGGGGACCGCCTTAGAGCCTCTTTGGGGCCTCTTTGGGGCCTCTCGGGGCTTATTGGGGGCCTCTTTTGGGCCGCTTGGGGGTTTCTTAAAGCCTTTTGGGGCCCTCGTGGGGTGGAAATATAGGATTTTCGGTTAGTTTTCTCCCTCGTCGCCTCTCTTGGGGCGATCTTTGGCCGCCTTGGAACCCTCTTGGCCCGTCCGTTGGCCCTCGTAGGGGCCTCTTGGGCAGTTTTGGGGCGGTCCACGGGGTCTCGTTGGCCGTCTTGGAGCGTCGGAAGCTCGAGAAGACGATAAGCCGATGATGCAGATTCTGACGATAATGATGCTGATGATGATGATACCGAAGACGATGCTGATGATGCCGACGATACTGGTGAAACTGATGATGCTGATGATGCTGATGATGTTGTTGTTATAATGACGATACTGATGTTGTTGATGATTGTGATGAAACTAATGATAATGCTGCTTATGATGATGATGATGATGATGATGATGATGATGCTGACGCTGATGTTGATGATATGATGAATGTGATGCCGACGTTGATGATATCATGATGGTGATGATCATGCTGATGATGACGATTATGATGATGAGGATTATGCTGCTGCTGATGATGATTCTGACGATCAGTATGTTGATTATGACGATGACGATGCTGATACTGACGGTAATGATGCTGATGCTGTTGCTGATGCTGATGATGACGACGATGATGTTGATGATAATGATGATGACGATGATGCTGATGGTGATGATGGTGATGATTATGATGATGATGATTCTGGTGATGATGCTGCTGATGATGATGCTGATGATGATGATGCTGATGCTGATTCTAATGATGATGATGATGATGATGATGATGATGATGATGATGATGATTGAGGATGTTGATGATGATGATGAAGATGATGATGATGAT